GAGTCCCCATCCCTGGAGGTATTTAAAAGACGTGTAGATGAGGCGCTTAGGGACATGGTTTAGTGGGCATGGGGGTGTTGGGTCGACAGTTGGACTCGATGATTTTAGAGGTCTTTTCCAACCTTAGTGATTCCATGATTCTATGATTCTATACTTGAGCTGTAGGATTTCAAGGCCAGCCTTTAAGCTGATGTCCTACTTGCTACTTCCTCCAATTCTTAAGTAACACTGATATCGTTCATTGCTGGTTTTTGCATCGTTACAAAGGTTGTGTTGATAGAGAGGTAGTTCATGCTGTAGTTTAGCACAGCTGGTGCCGGTAGGTCTCAAAACCTAGATTTCTACACGTGCCACCCCTGCAATGGGAAAATGCACTTAATCTATTCTGAATGTGGAAAATGTTTTAAGAGGGATTGTTTCCTTTATCAGTTCAGAGATCAGTAACAAACCCTCAAGTGCCCAATACCTATACACTGCACAAGACTTTTCAGGAGGAACAAAAATTCATCTACCTGTGATGAGTGGGGGAGAGCAAAACTGAAAGCTGGTCATATTGAAGTGAATACATTTTCTCATTCTAGGTAAAATTGTCGATGGGCTGTTGGTGATGAGAAAAATTGAAGTAAGTTGAATTCGCCTGTTTCTCTGTGAATGTCCACGTTGGAAAGTCACGTAGAGGATTAACAAGGGTTGTTCTGTTCTCTCCCGCTGTCTGTTTACAGGATACCAGGGAATACCAGTGTTGATAACTGGTATTATCAGTTGTCATCATTATAAAATAGCAGGAAATCTGTTGAGGCAAAGGCTGTCATATAGATTGACTTTAGAAATGCTATGCTCTCGTGCTTGCTGGTTAGTCTTTGAGCGGGGATTGTGTTCTTGTGGCTTTATTTGCAATGCTTTGCATTTGTTCAGGAAGCTGAATTGAAAAGCTGTTCCATCAGCAACTCAGACAAGAGTGTAAAGCAGATCACTTCTGTGCCATTGCCTGGGATTATTTAGTGGATGCTAGATCATCAGTTCTGCTGATCCGTGATCAGCATGTTTAATAAGAAAAATTAAATGAATCTTCTGATGGGCTTCCAGGAGCTGAAGATAAGTACGCTCAGGGGTGGTGGTTGCTACCAACGTTGTGACTGGGTGTCACGGCAGGATAATGAGTAGATTTAACAAATAGCAGTGAGTTCTTCAAGACAGCCGACACTAACTTCATGGCACACGCATGGGATAATGTGCACAAGGGCCTCTGCCATCAGTGAATCCAAAAAGTGGGGCACAAACAGAGCTGACAACTGTTAGGTATTGAGAAAAGGTCGCGTGCAAGGAACTGTACAGCATGATACAATCCGTGCGTTGCTAGCCCTCTTACAGAACAACCCTTCCATCAGTGCTTTTGGTGGCCTGCTTTGTGCATCACTGCAGTGAGAGGCAAATTAAAGGAAGTAAGAAAGAGACTCATGAAAAAGCAGACGAGTCCAGCAGAACGAGAGGTTCAGAATGAGGCTTGCTTTGTGACTATCTCGTACTTGGATTCCCCTTCTGTACAAATACAAGTTTGCTTTGCTTGTTGCAGCTGTAATCAGTAATTTTAAAGATTTAAGCCAGAGCAGCCTCAAGTGACATGATGCCTGCTGTATCTCATGAGGAGCTCTCCAGTTTTTGCTCTCTTCCTTTGCTCCCATTCAAAGGATCGGGGTCTGGTCTGCATCCCAAACCTCTGCGCACAGAGAGAGTTCACCGGCTTGTGGCCGGGTCCGTTGCCAAAATGCATGATGGTGCTTCTGTGTTACTCGGAGCTGTGTCTAGATTTCCCTGTTCCTGACGTTGCACAGACACCTCTTAGCCAGTCTTCAAGTAGCTGTCACTCACTGGATTTGCTGTGCTTTTATAAGGTTTAATGTTATATATTTGTTTGTCCCCAGAATGTGCCTACGGGTCCAAATAACAAACCCAAGCTGCCAGTTGTGATCTCTCAGTGTGGGGAAATGTAAAGCAATGAAACAGAAATGTGGTAAGTCTCAGTCTTCACGGTGCAACTGAACTGTGGGCTGCTCTGCTCCTTATTTTTCTCTTGACTTATTTTCACATTCATCTGAGTCTGCAGAGAGCTGACTCAGTTCAGTGAAACGCCAGAAGATGCTTCTCTAACAGCGTTAGTTTTTTGCCAGCTCAACTCCCTGAACTGGCTTCCCTCCGAGCTACACAGGCATCAAAGGCAGTGCTAGAGGGATAAGATTTCGCAGCTGCGATCAAGGGGAAGATGGGGTGTGGAAGCTGTGCCTTGGATGGGGTTAGGCTGCCTTGAAGCCTCGGCTTTAGAAACCAGTGGATGAAAGGGAACTGCGACAGGAATCCAGCTGGTATTACCCAGACAGTCTAGGGGGTGGGGGGCTTCACTTTGACCTGCAGGTTGGTGAACTCTGATTGCTACAGAAGGCAGAGCATCCATGTGCGGGATGGATGCCACCACTGAAGGGCCAAGGAATTATCATGTTACATAGTCTTACCTTAACTCGAAAAAATACCACTGTCCTCATCTGAAGGGAGATGTTTCCAGCATTTACTATTATTCAGGCTTCATTTTGGTTAAACTAATAGGCTCAAGACAGAGCTCAGGCTAACATACAGTATTCTGTTTCCATTTGTCCGCCCACTTCACCGTAAAAAACACAAGCATTTAAACAAATCTGTCTAGATTTCAATGTGTCAGGCTGCAGCTTGTCAAAAATCTGCTGTATTAGCCTTTTGGTTGCTGATTTTTCAAATTTCAGCAGGCAGGCACTGACAAAAGCAAATCCCCACAATTTTTGACCTTCCATTAAATGATTTCCAAAGACATCTGGAATTACCCACGAAGACACGTCCCCGCTTCCATAATAAAGTCTTTCAGATCTGCAGCACTTCAGACTCTTGGGAGCTCTTCCTGTTTGATGAAGTGACAACAGGGAATGTAATCATTCTTTCATTTCCCTGGTACTTCTGGTGGCATTTATAGGCTTTTGAAGATGGGCACAACCTTGTTGACAGGCTTTCTTGCATATGGGCAGGCCTGTGCTGGTGGGTCGGTCCCCTTTAGGGTTGTCCTCAGGCCCAGACTTGATCGTTTCAATTTGGAGTATGTGATCTCTGGCCAACATCCAACTTGAGACTGGAAGCTTTTCATTTCTAGGTATGAGGCTGGTGCCACCTTGCTTACTTCCCAGCCAGGTCTTGGGAACTGCCTCTCTGCACCCTGCTGCCTCTCGGCTGCCTGTAGACAAGAACAGCATTCGTCTCAGCCAACTTCAGGCAGCTAAATCCATTACTTGTCAAGATGCTTTAAAATCAGCCAGGAGAAGCAGGCACTGTTGGTTTTAAGTTCAGAAGTAGGTGCAGATGCCTGGCATGGAGACCCAGGAGGACTCCTGGGTTCTGTAGCTCGGGGTTGGCGTGAGCTAGTGCATGCAGCGAGTAGCACTCACTTGAAAATCACTGTAGCGGCACCCAGTGTCACTGCACAGTCTTGCTCCTGTAGGATGAGTTGGGAATGGCTGTCCAGCATTTTGGATCTGTTTCTTCTTCGTTTCAGTGTTCCTTCACCGGTGCTGGCTCCATACAGTTCCAACTCCAGCCAGTTTCCCCCACTGCCCCAGTCCTCTCCGCAGGCCAGATCCGCGCTCTTGACGTTCTCCTGAAATTATTTAATAATTGGCATCTATATTTTTTTTTTACGTTTTGAAATGTAAATAAAGAATTTCATTAAATATGTGTGCAGTGCACATCAGTTAACATGCCTGGGAACAGATTCTTCTTCAGGTGAGAAGGGCTGTGGCATCTTCAGCAACGTGCCTTATCCCCAGCTGGTTCAGTACTGTGCGTGGTACTGAAGGGCATTGCTGCTGGGCCTTTGCAAACTGGGAAAGAAGGGGCGAAAGGAGCATGGCAGTGCCACGCACCGCCAGCTCCTTTACTCGGCAGGTAAATAAGGCTGCCTGGCAGAGAGGTTCTTGGCATCTTGGGAATCTCCAGAACCTTTCTATGCACAGCCTTACTGAAGCACAAGAAATCGGTACGGCGCAGACTTTCATCACCATGAGTTTGCTGGGCTCTGAGGCGAGTTACGTTGTAAACAAGCATTTGTAAAGCCTCCCCTGGCACGTTGCAGCACTAGGCCGTAGGGCTGTTACGTGCCACGGGTGTTACAGGAATTCACCTGGGTGCCATAAGAGCATTAGAGCAGGGCTTTGGGCTGGGAAGCAGAGAATGATTATGCTGTAGGAGTAGAAATGAGGGCTCCTTATCCTGCGTGGTTACAAAGAGCGCAGGTGAGGCTGCAGGTTGGTGGAAAAACTGACTTTCTTCTCCCAGAATCGGGTTGCAAGCTCACCTACCTGCTGGGGGACAAGAAAGCACCCCTCGCGGGGGCTGGGCCACAGCGTGAGTTTTCTCATCCAGCAGATTAAACGTAAAGGAGTTGGGACAAAGTCTGTTCTGTCACGTGCAGGTGCTTCATCCCATCCGGATACGTCCCATCCATCCTTGGGCAGCAGGAGTGTATTGCGTGGGGCTGTCTCGGGGAGGTGCACTCTGCGCACTTAGCTTGTGCGTTACCCCGTGCTAGATAGCAAGCGCTGACAGATCCTGCGGGCATGTTTTGGTGTGCTTTTTTATCTCATGGTTGTTTCAAGTCCTTGAAGCAGGCTCTGGCTGTCAGGATTTCCGGGTCTCCATTCCTGGGATTGCACAGCTGCTGAGGACACTTGTGCTCACTTCTCTCCAGCCCAAGGCATCTCACTTTCTTGTACCTGCAGAACATCAGGTGATGAAGGAAACACAAAGCACACCATCCCTTTCCTCTCCAGGCCCGAAAAGACTTTGCAGAGGGCTCTTTCCTGTGAGATGAGGATTGAAAATTCCCAATATGGGGGAGAAAACCGGACCCGGATAACAGCTGTGAAATAAGAGGTGACCAAAAAGAGAGAAACTCAGCTGCTGGTCCTGCTCAGGAAACATGTCCAATGCTCCTTCCCTATGGGTTTAGGCAGGAGCTCGGCTCCAGGCGGCTCGAGGGATCTCTGCCTGCCAGCTGCAGTGCTGAGGTTTGCGATTCTGGCTGCAGGTACCCAAATTCACTGTACTTTTTCACCAGGGAAACCAGCTTATTTCTGGGTCCCCTCAGCAGCGCTTTCTCAGCCTGATGTATTTATGTCACTGCGATCAGCTAGTCTCACTTCCCGCATAGCAGGGGTCACAGAGCTTCCCCAAATTAATTAACAGCAGCAAATCCATTACAACCTCTTTGAAAGTTGTTCCAATGGCTAATTATATCCCATTAGGTTTCTCTTTGACACTGAATGTGCAGAGTTTCAGCTTTCCAGCTTATGTATCTTGCTGTTCCTTATCTGCTGGCTGAAAGTTTTCTCAAAGACCACATTTTTGCATTCAATTCCCCAATGATGAAGTCCCCCTTCAGTTATGTTGTATGTAGCAAGTCCGGAATCTCCTGCTGTAGGGCAGATGATGGATCTTCTCTCTCCGAGCTCCAGCGTCTTCCCCAACTGTGGATGCTGCAACTGGAGACAGCATTTCAGATTGTCTCTTTATTCATCCGAGGATCAGATTAGCCTCTGGGCCCTGCGGTGTTGCCCCCACAAAAGACGTTGTTGGCTGTTGAGTGGCCGACATTTTCTTCTATAGGTGCATGGCCCTGACATCCTCACAGGCTTCGTCACTGAGATTTGAAGTTTTCTCCCCAGTTTTCTCCCGCTAGGGTCTCTCACATGGCGGCTTCCCTATTTGCCATTATATTTTAAGATTTATTTTTCAGTTGACTTACTGAGCATCATCCAATTTTGATATCATTCAGAATTCTGATGCAGATCCCTTGCGGGATTGTACTACTGTTTTAAAGCTCTTTCCTTCGTTAGCTGAGTTGGAGATCTCGTGGAAAAGTTCCAAGATAGCTTGACAAGACCCGTGTCCATAAACCCACGCTGGTTGTTGTGGTGGGTTGACCTTGGCCCCATCTGAGCCCCTCACCTGGCCATGGTGTAATGTGGGGAACTGGCATCTGTTCTTCACACTAGGATGGGAAAATCGACAGCGATTTGTGTGTGACGCTGGAAGGGCTGATCCCAAGGGGATACACGTTGGTTGCAAAGATGATGGAGTGATGGATCAGCTCCCAGAGACCTTCTTGGTGGTTGCTGGTGACCTTTCCCTCCTCTTATGTGGGAGGAATGATATAGCCAAGGACAGGGCTGTGAATCTGTGGCCAACGACCACATTTTTCAAGTGCCCAAGGAAAATAACTTGGTGGACAAGAACGCTGGGTTTCCCCTGGACCTTCCTTCTGGGGAATCCAGCAGAGATCTCGGATTTCTCTGAGCCGCTGTAAGGTGAAGGCATAGGGGATGGAGGCAAGGCGGTCGTTGGAGGAGGGCTCCATCAAAATAAAGAACCCAGCAGTGATGCTTTCCCAGCTGCCTGGGTGGGGAGAAGGGCTCAGGGTAAAGGGAGCTGCCCCACAGTCTCCCCCCATCCCTCTGGCAGAGAAGCTCCACTGGGAAGGAAGGATGGGATGCTTAGGAAAAGGCTAATTAAAGACAAGACTTTTAAGAGACCTCTGACCCCGGGGCTACAGCCCGGCTCTTAAATGGCTCAATTAGGAGGCGTTTATCTTGAGTAACTACCCAGGCAGGTGCAATCAAAGGAGCTCCTCGGGGAGCAACGCAGAGCAGAGCCCGTGCCGTGCGTCTGCAGCGTGGAGGGGCTTGAGGAGCACCTCAACCAGGTCCCAAATTTCTGTAGGCGAAGCCCGGCCCCTTTCCCCTCCTCACCAGGAGGCCTGGCACAGGGCTCAGGACCTCTGCGTGCTGCCTGCGCCCTGGGGTGGGGGGGGTTAGACCAGGCTGCCTCCTCCCGGGGCGGGGGTTAGACCAGGCTGCCTGCTTCCTTGAAGGTGGTGGTTAGACCGGGCTGCCCGCTGCCTGGAGGGGTTAGACCGGGCTGCCTGCTGCCTGGAGGGGTTAGACCAGGCTGCCCGCTGCCTGGAGGGGTTAGACCGGGCTGCCTGCTCCCTTGAAGGTGGGGGTTAGACCGGGCTTCCCGCTGCCTGGAGGGGTTAGACCGGGCTGCCCGCTGCCTGGAGGGGTTAGACCAGGCTGCCTGCTCCCTTGAAGGTGGGGGTTAGACCGGGCTTCCCGCTGCCTGGAGGGGTTAGACCGGGCTGCCCGCTCCCTTGAAGGTGGGGGTTAGACCGGGCTGCCTGCTGCCTGGAGGGGTTAGACCAGGCTGCCCGCTCCCCGGGGGGAGGGAGGGTTAGACCAGGCTGCCCGCTCCCTTGGACGGGGGGTTAGACCGGGCTGCCTGCTGCCTGGAGGGGTTAGACCGGGCTGCCCGCTCCCTTGGACGGGGGGTTAGACCGGGCTGCCTGCTGCCTGGAGTGGTTAGCCCAGGCTGCCCGCTCCCCGAGGGGGGGGTGGATCAGGTCCCCCACCCCAAGCGCCAACCGCGGCACTTGGGCCAATTCGTTCCCCGCCAGCGCAGCCCTCCCCGCAGGACGCCGTTTCTCAGGAGGTTGATTATAATGCTTTAACTGCACGTAATTACGTATTTTAAGCAGCTCCGCCATGTCTCCAGATCCGTCATTTCCCACCGTTAATTAACGCTCCCAGGCTCCTTCCTTCTGATGATTATTTTTCTTAATGGGAGCCGCGCGCCCCGGGGGAGCGCTGGGGCTGCACCCAGCCCTTGTAACGGGGCCGGAGGCTGGGGC